TTTCCGCCATTAATACCTAAATAACTATTAACTATCTACCAAAAGTAGCTTAAGTAGCTTGTTTTAATAGCTAGCTACTTTTCACAGTAGCTTATGAATACTTGAAACACATTACCAAAAGCTACAGCTACAAGCTATTTTTTTTTCAAAGTAGCTTGAATAAGTTATTAGCTACCAAAAAAGTAGCTAAGCTAGTAGCTTAACTACTTGGTAGCTAGCTACTGCCCAGCTCTGGCAACAAAACATGTTTTAGGCGGGAGAAAATTGTTTCAACATCTCAGCATTTTGATACAACTTCAAAAATTGTTAAATATTTTTATACCAACCGAGATTTTCTGCCATTTACTTATTGATGTATTACATCGTAAATGTAACATAAATTTAATTTGGCAGACGGGAGGTCGTTGATACACATGTCCGATTTTAGCGACATTTTAAAATTAGTAATATGACACATTATACTAACCTAGGGTTTCCGCCGTTTAGCTTCTTTGCACTCATTTTTGTTAAAATTTCCTTTACAATGTGTGGCAGACGGGATAATATTGATCCACATCTCAACTTTTCATTACATTTTCAAATTAGCATATCATTGTATTGTCACACGCGGGGCTCTTTGAAATTTCAGCCATTCCACTTCTTATTGCATAAAGAATAACCATCCTTAATGGCAGACGGGAGAAAACCGTTTTAAAAAAATGGTCGGCACCGGTCTATATGTTTGTCATGGAAATGGGAGCAATCTCTTGAGACGAGATTGGATTTCGGAATTGAATCTTACTTCTTATTCCATTTATGATTTAGAAAATTCACAAATTTTTTCAGTCACTACTTCTTCAGTAAAAGATGATAATCCATTACTACAAAAATTGATAAACTTTTATCTGGTTATCCTGATGTTTTTGATGGTAAGCTAGGACATTGTACTTAATTCAAGGCATATTATTTGGAGCTTAGAGTGTGTGCTAATCCTGTGTTTTGCTGGGCACGGCTTCTACCTTTTTCTATTAAGAATAAAATAGAGAAAGAAATTAATTCTTTGATTCAAAAAGAAGTTTTTAAACCTGTTTGCTATTCAGAATGGGCTGCTCCCAGTAAAAAAAGGGAAGGTATAATTCGCCTATGTGCTGATTTTAAAACTGGACTCAATATTGCTTTAAGAATTCACCAATACCCTTTGACACGTTCTGAAGAAATTTTTGCAACATTAAATGGAGGGAAAACTCGCACTGTTATAGACTTTCCCGAAGCTTATCTTCAAATTGAATTGGATTTTTCCAGTGAGGAGTTGTGCATAATTAATACCCATAAAGGACTTTTTAGTTTCCAAATATTACCATTTGGAATTTCTCCTGCTCCAAGTATTTACCAATACCAAAATTCAATGAATCAGATGTTGGCTGGATTTTCAGGAGTTTCATCTTACTTAGATAAAATAATAATTACAGCGGCAAGATGAAAAATCGCACTTGGAAAATCTGGAAAACGTATTTCAAAAAATAAAAGATTTTGGACTACGTGTTAGAAAAGAGAAATGCAAATTCATGTAGTCAAGTGTGAAATATCTGGGATTCATTATTTCTTCAAAGGGGTTACACAAGTCTCCGGAGAAAATATAAGCCATTTCAAACATGCCGCGACTTTCGGATTTTGATAAATTGCAATCCTATTTGGGCATGATTAATTATTACTCCAAATTCATACCTAAGTTAGCTGATTTATGCTACCGTCTAAATGACCTGCGCAGGAAAAACGCTACTTGGAATGGATCCGAAGAATGCGATCCAGCATTTTTAAAAAATTGGGGAGGAACTTTCTTTTCCAAAATTTTTCGTCCACTATGACCCAAATTTGCCGCTAATTTTAGCAGCTGATGCTTCTTCAGTAGGGGTTGGTGCAGTGATTTATCACCGATATCCTGATGTATCTGAGAAGCCGATAGCTCATGCTTCAAAAACGTTAAAGCCAGAAGAGCGACGTTATTCACAAAGAGAGCGTGAAGGATTAGCTATTTTGTTTGGAATAATTTTTTTTTACCAATATGTATGGAGTAGACATCTCAAACTTTTAACCGTTCATAGACCGTTAGTTACAATCTTTGGTGCGAAGAAAGGACTACCTACTTCCACTGCTAATAGACTTCAGCGTTGGGCTATCCTCCTGATAGGGTATTTATTCGACATGGATTATGTTCCTACTTTCAAGTTCGGACAAGCAGATGGTCTCTCCAGACTTCCTGCAGGATCTCACAACGATTTTGATAATATTGGATACAATTTCGATTACATAATATCTTATAGAGAATGCACAAAAAAATATTCCAATTAAAGGTGAAGAAATAATTCGAGAAACGATCATGGATTCTACTTTAAACAAAGTTGAAGAATATATAGCTTTTTTTGGTTTGGAAAAGGACGGTTCTGGAACAGTTCAAAACAATCGCACAGTTTATTATTGAAAATTGTGATAGCCGAGCCGTTGTCATTTTGTTGATTGATGAACTGTGCGATTGTTTTGAACCGTTCTAGAACCGTCCTTTTTTCGAACCAAAACAAAGCTATTATTACAGGGCTGGCCTAAAATATGTATGTAGGTATGTCCAAATAATGATATAAAACCGTACTTCGTAAGACAGCATGAATTGACAGTGGAGAACGACTGTGTTTTGTGGGGAATTGGTTGCATTTCAAATCAAATTACTGATCATTGTACCCTCCGAAGGAGCGGACTTTGTTGACGATTGTTCCTAGTCTTCAATCGGGGGTTTTACAGGACCTTCATTCAATCCATGCAGGGATCGTACGAATGAAGGCTGAGGCTCGACGATATTTGTGGCGGCCTATTTGGATTCTGATATTGAAAAATTATCCTATAATTGTATAGCTTGTACCATACTTGTACGTCTATAAACCAGGATCCTCCAAGATACCTTTACATAGTTGGCCTAAGGTTCCACATCCATGGTATACAATAGATTATGCTCGACCTTTTAAAAATTCAATGTTTTTGATTTTCAAAATGGTCAGAAATTATACCAATGAAGTCTACAAACTCTGAGACTACAATTAGAGTATTGAAAGATCTTTTTGTTGGGTTGGTTCAGGAGATTGTTTCTGACAACGCTACTGCCTTTATGTCAAACATTTTCCAAAAATTCTGTAAACATTATGGTATCAATCACATAACTACTCCAATTTATCACCTGTCATCAAATGGACAAACCGAACGTTACCTTTTAAGTTTTTAAGTCTGCAGTCAAGAAAATTTGCTTTACAGCATCTGGAGATAGGATTGTGGATCATGTCAAGAACTATTTGTTCAAGTACAGAAGTACCACTCACTCAGCAACTAAAGCTTCACCGAGTGAATTGTTTCTTGGAAGGCAAATGCGAACTATTGTTCGTCGATTTTAATCTGATACTCGGACGGAATGTGAGCTGGTGGCTCCCTACATTAGAACGCCAATGGTTACCTGACGTCACACCTGTTTTTGCCATATGAAACACCCCCTCGCTCCTCATACCGCAAGTATCAGTTAAAAATCGACGAACAATACGTTGGATCTGATTAAACCAACCATTAATAAAAAAACGGGATTCCCCACTAGCAGGTCTAAAATTGGGGAAACGGTTTGGGTTAAAATGTTTGAAAACCTAAACACATATTCTTGGGAAAAGGGACCTATTTTAGAACAAGTAGCAACCAACACATGTAAAAGTCAAGTTAACGACAAAGAAGTCAAAAGACATTCAAATCAGATGAAATATTACAAAGGATCGAATGGTAGTGAGGAGGAAATAGAACTGGAACTGCCAGTTAAGAGATTCCAAAACGAGTTCTCCTGTGAAAAATACAGATCGGTCCTTGCCAATTGCTCTTCATAAACATGAAAGGGATTGCGGACCTCCCCAAAGGCAAGGCTATCAGCCAGAGGAAGAGGAGGAAGAACAAAATAAATTCTTTCTAATTGGGGTGAAGGAGTATTATGTATTATAGCTTTTTTAATAATTGGAATGTTATAATTAAAAAGTCCTCATTTTGCTGGCTTCTAGATTAGTCCTGGGGTGAAGTAAGTACAGACAGACTCCGAAGATTTTATTCCGACAAAAGAACTATGCCTAAACCGAGTCCAGCTAGCCGCATCAAAAAACCTAGACTTATAGGAAATCCTATAAGATAAAGAAAATTGAAAACTTTGTATGAACAGAATTTACATTGAGCTCTGTATCTACATCTGGGGATGAAGTACAAATAAAGCATTAAGTTCATGATTCTTCAGATGGCGAAAGCCTTTAGAAACCTCAGGTAAAGAATATACCTCAAATGGAATCATTTCAGAAATCATAATGGAGAAATATTTTATGCTGTCCCTATGAACATCAATGGTTTATTGGTATTGGAATAGAGAACAACAAATACCGACTGAAATTTCTAATATATGAGCTAGATATCTCATGAACTATTGAGTTATTAGATAACGGTCAAAGACCTAACGGTCTATTTTAACTGGAAAGAGTTAAAGCATTATGCATTCCTAAAAAATACGAGATCGAGCATCAGAGTCAGTAGTACTTAGCTACATGCCCTCCTTTTTAGAGCTTTGTATTGCATTGCAATCGCAATGCATTCCTATGTTTTTTCATGTACTCCCATGTATTCATATATATTTCTATGTATTCTTATATTCTTATGAATCTTATGTATTCCTTTGTATTCCTATGTATTCCTTTGTATTCCATGTATTCAGTTTACAAATTTGGCTAGCGGTTTACCCCTTGAAAGCGTCTATATTCAACTAATAAACTCCACAAATTCACCAATTACGTATTATTTTTACTTCACTTTATACTATAGCTTTATACGCATCTGCCTGCCAGAAATCTGTCGTAAATTCTTGTTCAATACATACAATCGGAATGGATACCTGATTATTCTCGCATCAGTCATGCACAGTTTAGTTTCATCAAGGTTTTATCATTGACAACAATTATCTGTTTCAGACCGCCGAATATTTTCGAAATGTAATTTTAAACATCGTGAATGGCTACATGGATCGCATATCGGACCAAGCTGAAAACAAAATCGGCCATTGCGGTCCACTGAACTTGGTTATCCATGCTAGCATTGCGTCGACATGCGATAAAGTTCTTTTACCATGGGTAAGTCAAACTTGCAATATTTTAGTAGTTATAATTTTGACCATTATTTTTCTTTTAGAATGGGTTTTGGTTCAGCCTTTTCTGTACCATCGTTCTTTACATAGTCACGATAATTATAGCTATAAAATTGGCCAATCTTTATCGTAAGCACAAGCCAGGCTATGACCAGTATGTGGAAACGTAAGTACCTACATTTTTAATTTTAATAAATTAAGTCCGGATAAGATTATGTGGCTTGTTAGATGTTACCATTGGGGCTTATACAAGAAACAAAAAAAAATTATTATAATTGTAAAAACTAATTTAAAATTTACTTGGCATTCCTGCACAAATGAATGTTTGCATCAATTTCTATATTGCGGCCGATTATTGTAAGGCTTATTTTTAGCATATAAGCATCGATCTTTATTTCCAAATGCATTATTTGTCTTTTGTGTTGTTTACAGCGAGTATTTGTATGACGCGTACGCCGATCGGGGGGATAATATTCCCTTGAACAGGTGAGTTGCGCATGCGTAGTTTGTATTCAAAGGGAAATTTTGAGCATGTGGTTGTAGTTTGCTTTTTAGATCGTAGTTTGTTCAAGGAGGATTTATGCCCTTATAGAATGCATATATTTTAGAAGGATGGTATCCGGTGATATTGAAGGAAACATTGATCAGTTGTCTTTTTAAAAGAAAAAGTCTGATTTTTTCTAAATAGGTCATCCTTTAGGGGTAAACCACCTTGGAATTATAGTGTCCAAGCATGTGGGATTCCAATGGAATTCTGTGTTTTGAACTTCTAAGTTTAGTGAAAAGTACATTTTATCAGTAAACGGAATCCTGAAAGTCTCAAGCCGATTTGAGTATTTTTCAAGATTTTTCAAAGATGATATATGATGAAATTGGTATCAAGATGGGAAAAACATCATAATTTTGTTTCTGTGTCTCAGATTGACTTCAAATTCACTTTGTTTGATGGAAACATCCTGGTTAATAAATCCTGAAAGTTTGAAATCGATCTGATACTCCCAAGTATTTTTCAGGATTTTTCAATGGTGATTTAACGTGAATTTTGCAACTTTTTCTGATATTAAGTTGAAACAAACCTCATAATTTTATTTCTGAGCTTCAGATTGACTTCAAATTTGCCTTGTTTGATGAAAACATCCTGGTAATAATTCCTGAAAGTTTGAAATCGATCTGATACTCCGAAGTATTTTTTAGGATTTTTCCGAGGTGATTTAACGTGAATTTTCCAACTTTTTCTGGTATTAAGTTGGAAAAAAACCTCATCATTTTATTTCTGAGCCTCAAATTGACTCCAAAATTACCTTGTTTGATGAAAAGATCCTGGTTGATAAATCCTGAAAGTTTCTAGTCGATCTGATACTCCGAAGTATTTTTCAGGATTTTTCAAAAGTGATTTAACGTAAATTTTCCAACTTTTCTGGTATCAAGTTGGCAAAAAACTCTATAATTTTATTTCTGTGCTTCAGATTGACTTCAAATTTGCCTTGTTTGATGGAAACATCCTGGTTAATAAATCCTGAAAGTTTGAAATCGATCTGATACTCCCAAGTATTTTTCAGGATTTTTCAATGGTGATTTAACGTGAATTTTGCAACTTTTTCTGATATTAAGTTGAAACAAACCTCATAATTTTATTTCTGAGCTTCAGATTGACTTCAAAATTGCCTTGTTTGATGAAAACATCCTGGTAATAATTCCTGAAAGTTTGAAATCGATCTGATACTCCGAAGTATTTTTTAGGATTTTTCCAAGGTGATTCAACGTGAATTTTCCAACTTTTTCTGGTATTAAGTTGGAAAAAAAACTCATTATTTTATTTCTGAGCCTCAAATTGACTTCAAATTTACCTTGTTTGATGAAAAGATCCTGGTTAATAAATCCTGAAAGTTTCTAGTCGATCTGATACTCCGAAGTATTTTTCAGGATTTTTCTAAAGTGATTTAACGTAAATTTTCCAACTTTTCTGGTATCAAGTTGGCAAAAAACTCTATAATTTTATTTCTGTGCTTCAGATTGACTTCAAATTTGCCTTGTTTGATGGAAACATCCTGGTTAATAAATCCTGAAAGTTTGAAATCGATCTGATACTCCCAAGTATTTTTCAGGATTTTTCAATGGTGATTTAACGTGAATTTTGCAACTTTTTCTGATATTAAGTTGAAACAAACCTCATAATTTTATTTCTGAGCTTCAGATTGACTTCAAATTTGCCTTGTTTGATGAAAACATCCTGGTAATAATTCCTGAAAGTTTGAAATCGATCTGATACTCCGAAGTATTTTTTAGGATTTTTCCAAGGTGATTCAACGTGAATTTTCCAACTTTTTCTGGTATTAAGTTGGAAAAAAACCTCATTATTTTATTTCTGAGCCTCAAATTGACTTCAAATTTACCTTGTTTGATGAAAAGATCCTGGTTAATAAATCCTGAAAGTTTCTAGTCGATCTGATACTCCGAAGTATTTTTCAGGATTTTTCAAAAGTGATTTAACGTAAATTTTCCAACTTTTCTGGTATCAAGTTGGCAAAAAACTCTATAATTTTATTTCTGTGCTTCAGATTGACTTCAAATTTGCCTTGTTTAATGAAAACATGCTGGTTAATACTTCCTGAAAGTTTGAAATCGATCTGATACTCCGAAGTATTTTTCAGGATTTTTCAAAGGTGATTTAACGTGAATTTTTCAACTTCTTCTGGTATTAAGTTGGAAAAAACCTCATAATTTTATTTCTGACCCTCAAATTAACTTCAAATTCACCTTGTTTGATAAAAAGATCCTGGTTAATAAGTCCTGAAAGTTTCAAGTCGATCTGATTCTCCGAAGTATTTTTCAGGATTTTTCAAAGGTGATATAACCTGAATTATCCGATTTTTTCTGGTATTAAGTTGGAAAAAATCTCATAATTCAATTTCTGAGCTTCAGATTGACTTCAAATTTGCCTTGTTCGATGAAAACATCCTGGTTAATAATTCCTGAAAGTATAAAATCGATCTGATACTCTGAAGTATTTTTTAGGATTTTTCAAAGGTGATTTAACGTGAATTTTCCAACGTTTTCTGGTATTAAGTTAGAAAAAAACCTTATAATTTTATTTCTGAGCTTCAGATTGACTTCAAATTTGCCTTGTCTGATGAAAACATCCTGGTTAATAAATTCTGAAAGTTTGAAATCGATCTAGTACTCCAAAGTATTTTTCAAAGATGATTTAACGTGAATTTACAAACTTTTTCTGGTATCCAGTTGGAAAAAACTTCATACTTTTATTTCTGAGCTTCAAAATAACTTAAATTCACCTTGTTTGATGAAAAGATCCTGATTAATAATTCCTGAAAGTTTCAAGTCGATCTGATTCTCCGAAATATTTTTCAGGATTTTTCAAAGGTGATTTAACAAGAATTTCCCAACTTTTTCTGTTATTAAGTTGGAAAAAAACCTCATAATTTCATTTCTGAGCCTCAAATTGACTTCAAATTTACCTTGTTTGTTGAAAAGATCCTGGTTAATAAATCCTAAAAGTTTCTAGTCGATTTGATTCTCGGAAGTTTTTTTTAGGATTTTTCAAAGGTGATTTAACGTGAATTTTCCAACTTTTTCTGGTATTAAGTTGGAAAAGACCTCATAATTTCATTTCTAAGCCTTAAATTGACTTCAAATTTATCTTGTTTGATTGAAACATCCTGGTTAAAAAATCCTGAACATTTATAGTCGATCTGATTCTCCGAAGTATTTTACAAAGGTGATTTAACATGAATTTCCCAACTTTTTCTGGTATTAAGTTAGAAAAAAAAACTCATAATTTCATTTCTGAGCTTCAAATTGACTTCAAATTTACCTTGTTTGATCAAAAGATTCTGGTTAATAAATCCTGAAAGTTTCTAGTCGATCTGATTCTCGGAAGTATTTTTCAGGATTTTTCAAAGGCGATTTAACGTGAATTTTCCAACTTTTTTGGTATTAAGTTGGAAAAGACCTCATAATTTCATTTCTAAGCCTTAAATTGACTTCAAATTTATCTTGTTTCATGAAAACATCCCGGTTAATAAGTCCTGAAAGTCTAGTCGATCTGATACTCCGAAGTATTTTTCAGGATTTTTCAAAGGTGATTTAAAGTAAATTTTTCAACTTTTTCTGGTATCAAGTTGGAAAAATTTTATTCCTGAACTTAAGATTGACTTCAAATTTGCCTCTGCTCGTCCTGCAACAGTTAACTCATTAATGAGTCGTTCTCACATAAATATGAGGAGTTTTTAAACTAATGAGTAGAGATTCTGATCTGAAATTTAGAGTTTTTGAATTATTGAGTGAAAATTCTGAATTTAAAATGAATGTTATCGAAGTAATTAATAAATTGCTGCCTAGTGCGATTCCGTGGTATTTTAGTGAGATTCCAGTGGGATTTCTTATTTTGCTTGATGAGTCGATATTTCTAGTTTGTACCTATGTAGTGGCGGTTAAACTGAAAATTGAATTTTCCTTTTTGACAGATGGATTGAATTGCCTAATTGCGTGGGATTTCAGTAGGATTCCGCAAAATTCCACTAAGATATCGTAGGATTCCAGTGGGATTTCGCAGAATTCTGGTGTACACAATATTTAAGGTGGTTTATTCCTCGGGATACCCTATATAATAATAGTAACTAATTGGATAGCTCTGTTTTTGCCTCGGTTTTTGCTAATTTCGATGATATAAAGTTCGATAGGTTTAACCATTAACAGTTTTCGAGAAAAACAAAATGTTTTTCTTACAAGTTACAATCTGTGAGAAAGAGACTTTTCTCTTTTTCTTGCTGATGAAAAGTACTGATGACAAGTTAATAATATATAAGGTGTTCCATTATTACCGTCGGACTTTGGTCATTTGGGGGCTAACTGAAAAAACTGGAAAAACACTGTGTACGTCAATGGATCCTGTATGGAAAAGTACATCTAAAAAGTTTTTACAGAAATTGACGCTTCTTATTAAAACTGTCCAAGCTGGCTTGCCCTACTTAGGAACACCCTCCTTCCTAAAAATCATAGAGCAAACTAACCAATTTCATGAATATTTAATTATAAAAGTGCACTCATTAAGGCTAGACTCTTAACAATTTTGTAGGATTTGTACTAAAATGATTTTTGTTTTTGTATGTTTAGACAATATAAACTGTTTTTTTTTTTAGTCGAGGAGGCAAGAGAGGCAAAAAGAAAGGCAAGAAATCCAAAAGGCACGATGAAAGATCAAACGTGGGACGTGAGGTAGCTAGAGAATATGCAGCTGGATCTCATCCGCCTGACGGCCGTTACGCTGATATGGCCCCAAAGTAAGTGACACAAACACCATTTTCTGCTTAAGTTTCAGTTACAAACAGCAACAAAAAATAGTTTTCTTTTTTTTTTTTCATTTGACATTTGACCCAAACTGAATTTGTGTGTCAAGCAAAACATGATTTTTCCTCATGCTCTTTGATAAGATTTTAAATCAAACAAACTGCAAAAGATGTTCTTTAGAGTATGAGGAGGTTTTTAAATTATCATTCTATTTAATGAGGGTAATTCAATTTTTTTTTTTTTCCTCAAGTTACAGGTCCCATGTAAATAACCCCTATGCAAGGGATGTTAATGGCAATACCATGAAGACTAGATTCTAAGAAAAAAACTTTCCATGTCAATTAATCCATTACATAAATTAATATAACAAAAATAAAATACAATGTTCTTGTATTTGAATTTATATGTTTTGTATTTTAATATTGTGTATATTTTGTGCTTTTTTGCAACGTACGAAATTGCTTGAAATCATGTGGAGGTTTTTGCAATTTGCATTATTTTGATTGCTTTTGTGACTGTTACAAGTGAATCATGTGAATTTATTCTTGTTGTTAAATCGTTTTGCTCATTGTCGCTTTTGTGTTTTCTGCTCTAGGCACTGGGAGGAGTTCCCAAACGGTGGACCGCCCCATTACCAAAGAGCCCCTACCGAGTACGAGAGGCCCCCACCCTATTACTACCCTGGAAGCGGAGGGTAAGATATTATATTATTTTATATAAGTTTAGGGATGTTCTCTTGTGATATTGGCGAATACCTCTGATATCCCCAAAACTACCAACTTGATAAAAAAAATCTTGAAGAAAATATTTGTCTATGAATTAAGTTTCTAGTTTGGTAAACTTTGTTTTTAAAAACTATTTATTTCCAAAACTAAGTATTGCAAATGAAAACTTTAAACTATTCTAAGTGAAACAAATTACTACGATGAAATCTCGAAAGTAAATGAATGGCTTTATTGTAGCTGCATGCATATTTTATAATAAAATAAATGCTAGCATAAGCAAGATAGATATTATTGTTTATAAGGGCACAAAAGGGTCTTTATTAGTTTATAAATTCCTCCCTCCTTAGATGGTTGCAAATTGGGGTTGATGTACCAAGTTATGCAACTCAATTTGAACCTCACTTTTTACATTTTTTCTAAATCTATGTAAAATATAAAATGGTTATATTAATCATAAAAATTACAATTAAAATTATAATTATATATGTGGATATATGGTTATTTACAAAGGTTAACTCTTTTAAGGGTCGAACTTCAAGTTGTGATGCTTCTTGTAGGGCTTCTTGAAGGGCTCCATGGTATACTGTTTTTCGTTTGACCGTCGTGATGTTTTCAGGAAAAATAGGAACATGTATTTTGGGTATCTTTAGTTCCAAGTTGAATTTTTCTTTTAATGTCTTCGGAAAATGTGTGATTATTGAGAGTCCATAAGTGCTATCAAACTTCTTTTGGGAATTAACAATAACTGATTGTTAGGTAGTTCTTGAACTGTCGGCTCTCCATACTCGATTTTCAAGAAAGGGCATGTTTGTTGTTCACTATTCATGATGCTGTGAACACAGGGCTCATTATGGGTTAATTTCCCAAAATTGCATGAATATACGCCTTCGACATTAGGGGTCTCATTTAAAGCATTAAAATATGTGTCTGTTGGAAGTAACATATATGTATGATGCTTATTAATGCTATAATTAATCGATCAAAAGAACTTACCTGAAGTTCGATCGTAATTATATGAAGGTCCAGTCCGAAAATATTACATAATTGTGAGTAGTATGCGTTAGTCTCCTACTTCTAGCACAAGGTTCAAAGTAAAATAAAAATCCGGTCCTGTCTATCATGGCACTGGTAGCGCCCTCTGGGCTCCCGTCGATCCGATCGATCCATCCTCATTATTTTAAAGACCATTACCTATTGTGTTTTATAGGCAATCTTATTGGGGTTTTTGGGAAGGGAGGGTTGTAATATTTTCGGACTGGACCTTCATATAATTACGATCGAACTTCAGGTAAGTTCTTTTGATCGATTAATTATATTTCAGGTCCAGTCCTCAATATTACATAATTGTGTAGATGTTTAAATCAAATTAGTTGCCATAAAACACATAATTTTAATAATAAACAAGACAAAAGCCAAGTGGTTAAACTATTTAGCGAAACAATAAAAGAAAAAACCATTCTCAAAATTTAGGTACTAAAGATTAAACCAAAACCAAGTTCCCCTATTCTAAATTTAAGACCCTGTCTTGAAACTCATTTGTTGATGCGACTAAAGGTCTGTTGTAAAATTTTCCGAAGGTGCTGGACTCCTTGCTCCAACCGGCCGATTTTTTTATATCATCTATTGAAACTCCCTTCCTAAACGCTGAAGAAGTTGCTGCATGTCTTGTTGAATGCACTTTAAATACAGTAGTGTCAACTCCTGTAGCCTGAAGAACACTTTTCACCCATAGACTGAGAGTTTGTTTAGAAGCCATATTGTGTGGTTTACAATAAGTTATAAAAAGGAAGTCCTGATCTTGCCCCCTAAGTGTTCTGGTGGCATCTAAGTACTCCTTCAAGGTCGTCGCAACACACAATTTTGTGTCTTGTTGAAGATATGGTAAACACAGACTGGGTTGGCAAAAATTGGGTCTCGACGTTTTGACTAAATCCGGTATGAGAATCGTTACGCCAGTATTGGAAAAAAGTATGTTCGAGCACCTAATCAGTGAAATTGTTTGCAACCTTTCACCAGTAGCCAGCATCAGTAAGCTAGCCAATTTATAGGATATAAACTTGAGGTTACACTCGGAAGAGTTTTTGAAATAATTTAATACTAATTGCGGATCCCAGGTACAATTATACCTGGGTTTAGGAGGTCTCATTTTAAAGACTCCCTTTTTTTAATTTGTGGATTTTCTCCTAAATCCTTTGAAGAGATCAAAGACAGTGCTGCTCGATGCGAGTTAAAGGAACCAAAAATATTCTCAGTGGAATCAAGAATATTTTGAAAAAATGATAACACCGCTGATATTTCCGCATCAAATGGGGAAATATTTTTCCTTCCGCAATATTCCCACCAAATCCTATAAGTTGTTCCATATTGTTTTATGGTATTCTCGCTCAGGGATCCTACCATCGTTCCTATTGCGTTTTCCGATATTCCTTTGCGTTTAAATGCCTCCCAGATAGTTTGCCTGCTACCAGGATAAGGTCTTTGTGAAGAGGGTGCTTCTTCTGACTAAAGGGACAAGATAAAAGGTTATCATTAGGCTCAAGTCTTAGTAGTTTGCCTACTAACATTTCTGTGAGCAATGGGAACCATGGTTGAGATTTCCAATATGGAACTACTAAAATTCCTTCCGCCTTGTCATTTATGATTTTTCGCAATACCCTAAGAATCTGGGAGAAAGGGGGAAAGGCATAAAAAAAGATATTTCCCCAAAATATGGTGAAAGCGTCGACCGTTTCCGATCCCGGGTCCCTTAACCAGGAAATGTACCGTTTACATTTATAGTTATTTACTGATGCAAATAAGTCTATTTCGGGTTGGCCCAGATCATGCTTTATTCGGTTGAAAACGTCTTGGTCCAAAGACCATTCAGTTTCTGACTGTAAGACTCGAGATGCTTTATCAGCTTGCCAGTTATCCGTTGATGGTATGTAAGTTACAAAAACCCATACATTTTTTCTCTCGCACCATTGCCAAATATCCCTTGCCAGAGCATTTGCTTTTTTATGTTTGATACTGCTCATTTTGTTGACGTAGGCCAATGCCGTAGTATTATCTGTTCGAATAAGTATACTAGAGTTCGTTAGATTACGGGCAAAGCATTTTAGACCCAGAAATATAGCCTCAAGTTCCAACAGATTTATGTGCTCAGCGGATTGTTCGGGTGTCCACCAACCATATGCACTTTCTCCTAGGCTAAATGCGCCCCAACCTGACAAGCTGGCATCGGTGCAAATTTCCAGGTCATAATGATCCCTATCAAGATCATTTTTAGATAGGCCAATATTATTCAACCACCAATTCAAATCGGGTTTGACTGATTTCGGAATTGACATTTTCGCATAATAATTTCCATTATTTGCATTTAAGGCCATAACTTTTGCTCTTTCAAAAAACTTCGTATACACCCAGCCATATTTGATGGCTGGGCAAGCTGATGTGAGTAAGCCTAAAAATTGAGCAAATTTTATTATTTTTTCGGAGGTCCTGTTAATGAAATACCTAATCCACTTGAGGATTTTTTCACGTTTCTCTAGTGGTAATTCTATACTCATAGTATTGGAATCAAAAATAAAACCTAGAAATTTGCAACGTGTTTTTGGCGTCAACACAATTTTCTCAGTGTTAATAATAAGGCCCAAAGAACACAATAGAGATGTAACTATCTGCACATTCTTTACGCAATTTGCCTGCGATGACCCCAATATTAAAAAATCATCGAGATAATTCACACAAGGTACGCCCTTGTCCCTTAAATGCTGAATGATAGGTTTCATAAGTTTTGTAAAAACAAATGGCGCAGACGCTAGACCAAAAGGCAAACAAGTAAATTCATAGAGCATGCCGTCAAAGCAAAACCTCAAAAATTTTCTATGATTTTTATTTATCGGCAGCAAATAATAGGCGTCTTTCAAGTCTATTGTTGCCGCGTAGTTGCCACTTTGGATTAACTTGCTGGCCGTTCTCGCGTCTTCCATTTTGAAGTGCGGCGCAGTAACGTATTTATTTAAAGCTCTAAGGTTTAAAATAAAACGTTTTTGACCGTTTGGTTTATCGGCTAGAAAGATACTAGATATAAACTGACCCGGGACGGGTTCACAAATTTCAACTGCGCCTAACTGTAATAATTTCATTATTTCTGTCTTGATTTGATGATAATCTGTAGGATTATTAACTTTTTTAAAATATCGAGATTCATAATGACAAGGCGGTTGAACAATAAAGGGTAATTTGTAGCCCTGAAGCCAACTCAGTACAACCGGGTTGGTGGTTAGGGGTATCCATTGTTCTACAAAATGTTCTAAACGGCCTGCATAACCGTTAATGCTTACCTTCTTTAATATTTCTTCCAATTCTCCCCTGCTTTGCTCTTGTTCCATCGGCTGTTCTTCCAATAGGTGTTCTTGGAGGTTTGCCCTCTGGCCCCCTTCTCCCTCGAAGAATGGGCCGGGCGAAGCCGGTTTAAAGAATAACCTTTTTCCGTTGAATTTTGGGTCGAAGAACTCCTTGACTGGCTCGTCCCCCCTCCTCCTTATTTTCGGTAAAAAGGGGTATTTTTTCCCGCATTTGAAGTGAGCTTAAGTTCCTTACTTACCGTCTCAATGTTCTTGAAAGATTTTAATTTTTCTGATAAATCTGTTCCGAACAGATATTCAGAATCAGTGGATTTATCCGCCAGCTGTTTCATATTTTTCAAGTGCGGAATAATTAAATTTTTTCGTGTCACTGTAACACGATGAAATAAATTTGTCAGGATCCTCCCCGAGTCGAGTAAGCTCGACAACAGATCGCCTTTAAGGTCCTCGGGTAAGTTCTTGACATTACCAAGGATGCTTGAGATACCTTTTCCTAAGGCACATATACCCTTGCTAAGTTGGTTCTGTTCTTCCGAGTATGAAGAATCTGTGACAAGGTTGGACTTTAAAAGTGCTGCCTTCACTTCAGGGTTTAACTTTGGAGGAGTTAAACTATTTAAATTAGAAGGTATCTCATATTTATTAAGACGGCTTGCACAGTCTTCTTTTTTTAAACCGTCCCTCAAAAGCGCATTCCATCTGGAAACAAGTGATTCGTGCAGCGAAAAACTGTTATCCAGCTTATTTTCTGGATCATCACCCAGCAACTCAAGGACATCGTCTGGTAGACTGACATCATTGTGAACCTCAAGGACATCTTGATTATCATTAGAGTTATCATCAATAACTTCTGAGACGCTACAGACGCTGCAGACGTCAGAATTAGCCGTAGTGTTGCATACACTACTCAGATCATTTTCAGCCAAGCGGTCATCTGCAAGAGGACGTGGCAACACCGCATCGCGGTCTTTAGTCGGTTGTTGAGGACGCTGCACGCGACTCTCGACCGTATTGGACCATTGGGGTCGCTTCGCGTTAGAGCGAGAGCGAGAGCGAATGTCTCTTGAAGATCGACGCGACGGCCCGGCTACGACCTTCCTGTCGCTGCGTTGCTGACTACGATGGTGGTGTACTGCTGGGCTACGGCTGCGTTTAACATGGCTGCGCCTATGCCCTCGGTCGTCGGAGCGAGGTGAACGTGTACGTCGAAATCTAGGTCTAGAACGAGATCTCGACGAGGACGATCGCCTTGCCAGCTCGGCCTCTACACGTGCTAATCTTTCAATTAGGGTTTTGGAATTTGCACAATCCCTCCCTTTTTTGCGTCCGGAACGACCGGAACTGCTCGACGACGAACTATGGCTACGCCCGCGTTTTATTTTTGTCTTCCCCATATTAACCTAAATTGGATTATTATAACGATAAAATGTTACTTACCAATTTGGAAAAAACAAAGGTACCTACCCAAGTACTTTATTTTTGCGAAAAAAAAGCCTAATTTTAGCTGAGTGAAAAGGGAGAAAATAAACGAACCTTGTTCACGAAGCACAAGAAACACAATGAGGATGGATCGATCGGATCGACGGGAGCCCAGAGGGCGCTACCAGTGCCATGATAGACAGGACCGGATTTTTATTTTACTTTGAACCTTGTGCTAGAAGTAGGAGACTAACGCATACTACTACTCACAATTATGTAATATTGAGGACTGGACCTGAAATATAATTCTGTAATAGTATAGAGTTTATACATCAAAGAAGATTTTGGGTTTATTTTTGGTCTATAGATTGTAAATATAATCAGAGGATCTGCAATGTCCGCTAATATGGTCCTCTACGAAAGAGTTGTAAATTAACAGTTCAAAAGAATTTGAATTAAACGATGTTTGTAAAACTCGTAGGACTATGGGCTCTAGAGTTTTATTGTGGAAATACCTACATACAATGTGTATTGGGTGGCATATATTCTTTCATTAGTGTAATGATTTGTTGGCCGGTCCTCCATTAATGCGACATGACGCCGACAATTTGTGTTTTTAACGAATGTCAGAAGACAAATGTCGTAAGAAAATCTCGAGTTCGTTCACTTGTAAGCATTATGTCGTCAGACGAGGATGTATAATTGCTACTCGCGTTAGTTCAAAGGAGAAGAAAGAAAAAAAAAATTAAAAAAAAAAAAAAAAATTCAGTCTGGAAAGCAAACGACGAATGTTTCCCGAAAATAAAGCAAGCAGTGTCGTATGAAAATTGACAAAATTGTCGTAGACATGCTTTGACTTGTTTGCGTAGTGTCCGATTAATGGATAAGCGTTTTATATACAGGGTGTCCACTTAGTGCGATATCGGACGATATCTCCTTACAGGGTGATGCAAGAAAAAAAAAATTACAAAGGTTTTTGATACTCTAATATGCATTAGTTGAAAATATTTTTGAATATACAGGGTGCTCCGTTTATGGGGTATGCGACAGAACTTTGTTATTTAAAATGGAACACCCTATATGTGATTGCATATTTTGATTCTACGTAAAATTCTGAGCAGATCTCATGTGATATACCCATACCTAAGTTCAAATGTTTTGGAAATATTGACAGTTGAAAATTGACTTTTTGTAATTTTGACAGGCTGTAAAACCTAAACGGTTAATTTTAGACGAAAACCGATTTAACATTCCTATCTTAGGTTTTCATAAACTATCATTTGACATCAACTTTGAATTTAACCAGAGATTAAATTTAACTGGAATTTTTAATCATGGATTAAATTTAAAGTTGATAGAAAAATGATAGTTTATGAAAATCCAAGATAGGAATGTAAAATCGGTTTTCGTCTAAAATTAACCGTTTAGGTTTTACAGCCTGTCAAAGTTGCAAAAAGTTAATTTTCAACTGTCAATATTTCCAGAACAGTTGAACTTAGGTATAGGGTACATTACATGAAATCTGCTCAGAATTTTACTTAGAATTCAAATTTGCAATCACATACAGGAGCACCCTGTACATTCAAAAATATTTTTAACTGATGCATATTAGAGTATCAAACAACTTTGTAATTTAATTTTTTTTTCTTGCATCACGCTGTAAGGAAATATCGTCCGATATCGCAGTAACTGGACACCCTGTATAAAAAAAAGACACGTTGACAAACAAATGTCTTTCAGATGGACGATCAGCCTAAAAGTCTGAAGGGTGATTTGGTAAGAAGAATGTTTATCTCTTTTTATTTGGGAAAGGTGTGATTATTTCTTTCCGAATGGTATTGTCACTCGAATACCTGATCATTAACTTGACTAGGAAAGAGATTGATATGTTTTTTGGTATATAGGGGGCTCCTTAAATAGGGTTTTATATAGTGACGTATGAATGGTTTGTGCATATTCTGGAGAATTTCCCTGAGGTTGTCTTGGTGAAATAGGATTTTCAAGTGACGTAAGAATATTTTGTGCATCTTCTGGAAGATTTTCTTGAGCTTGTCTTGGTGGTATTATTGAAGATTTGGGACAGAATTTTAAATTTTGAAGGTGGTTTTTCTGGTATTACTGCAGCCGCCTACTACCTAACCTATCAATTTTACCACACAGAGGTAAATGATGAGAAAACCTTATTAGGTAAAAAAATACGCAACAACGCTCATTGCGCAAGACGAGGCAAAACGAACGAAATCATTTTAGACTTACATATAGCAATCTGTCCTCCTTATTTGCACGGGATAAATAGGGAAGGAGGAAGACCGCGTGACGTGCATCGTATTTATTAATAATTAGAAAACGTTCAAGAACTCAAACAACTTTTGAAGTGTATGTTATGTATTCTTCTTCCTTTTTACTTTACCCTACCTGTAACTGTTGCGCTAATGAGAGATCTTTCAGTGAATTGAAAATCTTGAAAACTTGCTTCTGGTCAACAATGAACGAACAAAGGTAGCTTGATCTATCTATAGAGCTACTGTAATTATAAACATAGAATACCTACAATATCGCAGCAAAGTTAGATTTGAGAAATCTTATAAATAATTTTGTTAATGCTAAAGTCAGAAAAAGACCATGATAGTAATACTAGTTCTAGATTTTAGTATTTTTAATTTGTTATTTTATAGTTTTTATATTTTATTAGAAGTGTTTCAATTTTTTTACTTTTTATGTGATCCTTTTTACGTGATACTCAAAGAATAGGTTAGGGGCCCACAAATATATTTTGGCCCTGAGGCCCACTCGTCCCTAGATCCACCACTGAGTATATCACGAGGTGAATTAGCTGCTATAGTAGATTCTGAAAGTGATTTGTTTTCGTGTTGATCATCTATTCTAATTTCTTTGTTTTCACTGATGGGTAATTTTGGTTTTTGGGGCATAAAAAGATTAGTACCTTCGAAATATTTTCGTTGTTATTTAGAGGTGTATCTTTTGAGATTACTCCTAGGGTTTTATGGAATTTTTCGTCAGAGTCATATTTAGTATTCGAACTTGACGTATGAGAGAGAGCATTGACTTGTAAAGGAGGGTTTAGTTAATGCATCTGCGCTCATATTTAAGGTTTCTTTATTATACGTGATTGTATATTCAAATTCGTCTAGTTTGAGTCTTCATCTGACTTACTTAGAGCCAGGGTCTTTCACGGAAAATAACGTTTCGATCGAGTGGTTTCTGGTCTGATAGTATTATGAATTTTTGTCCATTCAAGTAGGGTCTGAAATACTTAGTTGCCCATACTATGGGTAATAATTCTTTCTCTATCGTTGAACAATCGCATTCATCAAGGTTTAGTATGCGACTTGCATAGGCAATAGGAAGGTCTGAACCTATTGGTCCTTGTGCGTCTGTAGTTGATAGAAAATGTTTGGTGAAATCTGAGTGTTGTAAAATAGGATCATTCATTAGCAAATTTCTGCAAGTTTCAAAACTATGAATAAATTCAGTCATGAACTGTTTTCCTATTCTTTTTTAAACATGACATCATAGGTTTAGTTACTTTGGCAAAGTCTTTTATGAATTAACGATAGTGTCCAATAAATCCTAAGAATGATTTGATCTCTTCAGTGGTTTTGGGAAGTCATTGAGAATTTTCTTGATAGCATCAATTTTTTTCGGGTTTGGTTTAATGTTTAATTCCTTCGGGGGTTATAGACCGGTGCATAACGATCATTTTTTTGAAACGATTTTCTCCCGTCTGCCATTAAGGGTGGTTATTCTTTATGTAAAAAGAAGTGGAATGGCTGAAATTCTAGAGAGCCCCGCGTGTGACAATACAATGATATGCTAATTTGAGAATGTAATGAGAAGTGGAGATTTGGATCAATATTATCCCGTCTGCCACACATTGTGAAGGTAATTTAAAGAAAAATGAGTAGAAGGAAGCTAAACGGCGGAAACCCTAGGTTAGTATAAAGTGTCATATTACTAATTTCAAAATGTCGCCAAAATCGGACATGTGGATCAACGACCTCCCGTCTGCCAAATTAAAGTTATGTTACATTTACGATGTAATACATCAATACGTAAATGGCAGAAAATCTCAGTAGGTATAATAATATTTAACAATCTTTGAAGTTGTATCAAAATGCTGAGATGTTGAAACTACTTTCTCCTGCCTAAAACATGTTTTGTTACAATGGATTTTAGATAAATAATGTACCTTCACACCGGCAGAAAAATTGAAGTGGTACAGATATTTATTTTTAATTTTTCAAAATGTCAAAATTTTTCAAATTTGAGATCATTTCCCGTCTGCCATTAATTCATATTAAATAAGTTGCTACTAAAAGCTTAAGTTTTGACTGGCAGAAATTGCAGACTGGTACAAGTCCTAATAAACAATGAACAAAATTGCGAAAAAAATGGTTTTAATTTTAAACGTTATATAACAGTAATTTTGGTGATCATTTTGACAAGGTATAAGTGTTACTTCAATGACTTTCAGCTTGAGCGGCGTTTAATGCCTAATTCTCACTTGCGCGAAATTCGCTCTGTTTTTGACATTGCTCCGACAATTTGGCGTTTTATGCGTGTATCAAACGTCAAATTGTCGAAGCAATGTCAAAAAAGAACGAATTTCGCGCAAGTGAGAATTAAGCTTAAGTGTTATACTCCGCCGGAATATAACATTTATACGCCGTTGCACATGTTTTTCCATAGCGATTTAAGATGATCCTTCTAAATATGAATGTCATAATTTAAATTAAAAAATTCTGCACAATAAAGATTGTTTGAAAATAAAATATTGCATGTCATTCGGAGTATAAAGGCCGTTTTACAGCTTGCAATTCTTTATTTATTTATTTATTTCATTACTTTACAAACACCAAAAATAGTAATTACATGTAAAGTTAAAACAGCGAAGTGTAAAACACAAAAATAAAGATAGAGTACACAATATAAACATATATGACTAATTTAAAAG